ATATATATATATTTATACACGTATACGCGTGAGAATAACTCTGCACATTACGCATAAATATATACTTATATATATACCTGCAGCGTGACATAACATAACGCTCGCTTGGGCGCATATTGTAGCAGCATCAGTGACATCAGAGCGCGAGAAGATAAGGAATAAGTGTAAGGTGTTTTTTCGTCTTTTGTGCTTTTTTTTTTTTTTTAATTTTTCTTGTTTCTTTCGTACACGTCTAAATTAAATGTAACAATATACTCACGGTACATGATTGCGCTAGGAGTACATATCCCTTCTCGCGGCAATGAACTGTTTCATCCAAAAAGCTAGTTTACCGATCGCCAACCCTAGTTTTCCACATCCCCGTTATCTCTCACATCACCACCGAGTAAAAAAAAGAAAACAATCCATTGTACGCACGCGAAAAAAAAAAGAAGAGAAGAAATTTACAGTCGCGCGTACACCAAGAAGACGCTCGTTCTTCCCTCGGTACGAAAAACAGACTGACGCTATCTATACCGCATGATCGTCATCTGTGCGCTAACAACAAGTGTGGCGCGCGTATGTATAGGTACGCAATGAAATAATAAAATATAAGCAGGCGTCTCTCACCGGGCTGATAAAAAACAACGCGGCAGCGCTCCCTGGCTGGCTGCTGCTGCTCCATACATATCTCCCTGTGCGAGCGTACGTGTAGGTGTGTGGACAAGTGTTTCCTCCCCGTCCCCTCGCGTAATTTTTTTTTTTCTCTCGGTATTATCCGCGGAGCTTATCCAACGGGCCACAGATGACGATCGGTTGGATAATCGCGGGGCGATCTTTTTCTCTCCCGAGATGAGTCGCGGCGTGTGTGCAGCGGTCCTATATATACTGAAAATCGGTATATTTCGCGCGAGGTGGTACAGTGGTGTGTTGTGTGGCCCCTCCGCGGTATTAGCACGTATAATTATGTGCACGCGTCATCTCCTCTCGTTAGTCTCTCTTTTTTGGCTCGAGTGTCATTGAGGAAAGCTCACGTGGGTTATACATGCATGGGCAAAAACCGCGAGCTGTGCACAATAAGAGCTTACCGATTCTCGGCTGGTATATGGTGACGATTTTTTTTTTAATTGAAGAAACTCTATTGGAAAAGCATATAGTGTATTTGTATATACGTGTTCCCGTACATTGGGCGTATATATACCTATACCCGTACATATAATATATATATATAATACATTAATGTGGTGCCGCGTGAGAGTTGCTGAAACGAAGATACGCGGTTCCCGTCGTCGACGGCGGTGCGCGCGAAAGTGGAGAAAGACTTTCTAGGAACGAGAGAGAGAGAAAAAAAGAGGTTGAGCTGTGAAAACGGACGAGCGCTTTTCGAGCTTGACTCGCGAGGTTTTCTATATCTACTTACTTACAAGACGATAATAGCAGGTGCGGCGGGTACTTGTGTATGTTATACCCGCGTGTGGAATTTTTAACGATCCGGCGATCGGTACATTGAAGAAAGGATCGGCAATTGTATGGAAAATCGAGGAAACGAAAGAAATTTTTCGAAAGAGAGGATAGTTATGATAACAATTGAGAAAAGATGACGTGGTAAATAAATACATATAGCAGAGAAGAGTCTCCGTGACGTCCTTGAGTCGGTGAATTCGACATGTGGGATGAATAAAAGCTATAGGAGAAAACTGCACGCAACCTTGATGGCTAATGCGGGATGACAGTGGTAAAAAAAGAGAGGATGCCTAACCCCTTTCTCTCTCTCTCTCTGCTTCCTTAGGGTAACGCGGAATGATGCGCGCGGTTATGTACGCAAGAGGGGGGGCCCTTTTCTTATTTTCTTTCTTTCTCCTCCGTACATCACGCGGCTGATGATGCTCTTTCTCTTTCAAAAAAAAACATCCATCGCTGGCTCATTTTCGCACATCTGTTGACAGCATGCGTAGGTTCCTATTATGTTTGCCTATGTGGGTTCTTTTTGAAAAACTTGCGTGCCATCGCGAATATAATTCAATTTTTCTTTTTTTTCTTTTTTTTCTTTTTTTTTTTTTTTTTTTTTATAGCTTCTCTTTACAAGATCAATAGGAACTACTGTGAAATATAGTTGAGCTGTTTTCGAGTATCACCGGCACCTAAGAGGTTTCATTTTCTAATTGAGCCTGTAGTTTTTCTCTCTACACGCAGCATATCGAATGTACACATGTATTATCATCATTCCAAAGCTTCGATGTCACGTTGATGTATCAGTCAGCAGTGCAGCGGTGATTATGATGATATACCAAAGTGAATTTTTTTTTTTTTTTCATTGTATGTGCGCCCCAAGATAAGAACCTATCCTTATCTATGCAAGCACATATTGTATGAGTACACATTGCAAGCGCAATCTTTTGAAAATCCAACGAGTGCGTTGTGATTCCATTGTTAATATGTGTTCTTTTTTTTTTTTTTTATACGTTATTATCGACGACGACGGCGACGTCTAATCTATGTCAAATAAGTTTAGTCGAGTTAGTTGTAGTATATATTCATATCTGATGGTTAAACTGCAGGTAGTGGCGTACGAACAAACGTTCAAAGGATTAAAATATAAATTTGAAGGCAATAAGTTAATATAAATAAATAAAAAGTATATGTCTTTTTGATTGCAAGATTTATGCTTGCCTCCGTTAATTTTCATTACTGTCTATTGCTTGATGATCACAATATACTTATACATAAACCGAAGCGATTTTTATTGTTCGATCGTAATGTCGAGTTGTTTTTATTTTTTTATTTTTTGTCATTTTTTTGTAGAACTCGGCTATAAGTTATCAATTCTCCCTCTGGGCGCTAATCTCGAGTTGTACGACCTTTTATTCTCTCAGCCGACATGTCATTCAAACACGAGGAGCAGATGTCGCTGGTACAAAGAGAAAAAGAAAAAAAAAACAGGGGGAGATAATCTGATAGGGATAAACGAATTCTTGTAAGTTGTGTTGAACTCAATGCGTGTTTTTCATAGACATTTACTTATAAATATATACACCACAGTATAACTGCAATGCAACAAAGTAAGTGAAAAATGTTGGTTTGCGTGCGAGGATATGAGTAAGAAAGGGTCGCCGCGTAAGGGAGCAAAAATCCGCGAAAATAAGAAGTACACGTCTAAGTGAAAAAAAAAAAAAAAAAAATGGTACGTGGTGCACGCACTGTGTGTATATGTAATATGCACAAAGAGCAGTGAAACATGTGCTCGCGGGGCGAGAAACCGCACAAGAACCGACGCGCCGGATGCAACAACGAGGTCTTTTCTAAGAGTTCGAGAATATGTATACTTAGAGCCGGCGGATTTTCTCTCTCTCTCTCTCTCTCTCACTTTGTCTTTCTCTCCTCGAAGAAAGGGTGTATATGTGCGCGTAAAGGTATAAGCGAGCGACCCAGTATCCCTTTGGGTCTTGAAGGGATTCCTCCAATCGGCACAAAAAAAGTACCTACTACCTATCTACCCCCAAAGTCCCTCTCTTCGTTTTCACGGTTAATGCCCTCTTTTTCTTGTTGTTTTATTATTCATTTATTGTCTAAGATGGGTACAATACAGAGGTTGACTTTGTCGTGTCGAGAATATACGCTGCGATGACGCGTATCATCGGTATTTCCATTTGTTATTGCTACTACTTACGCACACGTGTGTATACGCAACGATCGATATTCGCATGATTATCGAGTTCACGGGCGCGTCTGACATAAATATGTGTACTTAAGCAGGGATTGCTCAATTTGACGCGTTTTTTTTTTTTTTTTTTTTTTTTTTCTCTCTCTCTTGCGATAGGGTGAACGGATTTGAACAATCATATTGTTGCGCGTTGGAGAAACAATTAAAACCGAGATTAAAACAATAATCGCTGGACATTGAAAACTAAGCCACGCGGGCTACTCGGAAACGCAAAAAATCGGCCAATCAGCGTTGGTAATAGATTTCCAATATCATTATTATTACGTATATCTTTGAGTCTTCAAGCAGAGATGAGTATGTGTCTCTCGTACAGTGCTGGTACCGAGGCTGGTACGGTGTTTCTGGACAATTAAAACTTATTTCATCGTTTCGGCATATGTATAACATGTACCTATAATGCTCTCCGAGTGGGAAAAATACAGTTAAAATTAACGAGCGCGTAATTGTTGTTGCATACAAAAAAAAAGTTACACGTGTACAGAGGGAAAATACACGGGCGCGTATGCATAAAATATATATATGCATATGCATTCTTAGCATTAAATTACGATCTCACTCTCGAGCAAGTGAGAGAGAGAAGTAGCGTGCTCTTTGGCTTGTGCTCGAGAGAGACAGCTTGCTTCGAGAAAGTAATTTACACCGCGAACGTCGTCGTATGACTTGGAACGTTCTCGGTTGCACGCAGCGGAAATTGAAAAAAAAAAAAAATTATTTTTTTCTTCTAATTTTAAATATATATTGTACAGGTTTCAAAAACGTATGAAAAAGGTGTCCGGAAATTTTTAGAAAAAACCATTCCAGGGACGAAAGGGTTCAAAGATTTAAATACATGTTTTAGAAGGCTTTTAAACAAAACTTCAAGATATATTTAAAAATGTTGAAAAATGACTTCTATCCACCCCGTACTTATACTTACACTTGATCTAAACCAAACATTTTTTTTTAACGAATGAAGCACTCTATTTAAATGCCTTTTAAAATACAAGTAGAGACAGGTTTCTCTAAAAATTTGCGAAAAATTACTAAAATCGAAGATAAACGTACGTAACGAGAGCCACCGGAAATGACTTGACACGTGAGAATACCCATTCAATTGCACATTGACACGGTATCAGTTTTAGCAGTTTTTACTTTCCAGGTGTGATTACAGTATTGCAGTAAATTTGGAAACTTATGTCGGGATCATTTCCGACCAACCACTACAATAAAAAAAAAAGAAAAAAAAAAAAAAAAAAATTCCATATACTAACCAGTTGTATACGCCGCTGAAGATGAGTTGACACATGAAAAAATATATCACACTGCACATAAATACGTCAGCCTCATATTATATATACTCTAATATCCCCCGTAGTAAGTACATGCTGCATAAGGTTAACTCGAGCTGCTGTAATTCAAGCCTCCGTCTGCGTCCGTCTTTCTTTCTTATATACTTCCTCGGAGAGCTGCTTCTCTCTCTGGGCGCGCGTCTGGATTATTCAACTCGACGTATACTTATACTTATTCGTAGGTAGTAAGTATAAGTACAGCTGAGAGAGGGAAATATCGAGGGAGCCGAATTCATTACTCCCCCGATGGAAGATAATAATATAATGTTTACGAGCTCGATGGGACAACAACGCCAGCGTTGTATGATGTACAATTTTCAAGCATCATCGGTCGTTGTGTCGAGTTTGCCATTTGTTTGCGAGTCAAAAGAATCCAGAAATCGATATTATATAGGTACAAATGTTGTATTGTAGTGGAGTCGCGTTTATTCATCATCGGTCTCCAAGGCGCACTATATTATATATTATGGCG